TTTACACTCTTAGATAAGTTTTCAACAATTATGGTCAATTGTATGAAATTTTCGTAACAATTTTCTCAGCAACTTCTTCTCACAGCCTCTTGATATTTGGCATACAGCATTGACATGGTCCCATACCGTAGGATTCGATTTGAGGTCTATAGCTTAACCACTTCCTGTTTACCCACTTAGTTAAATTTTCAACATTAATGGTCAATGGTAGGAAATTTTCGTAAAAGTTCTCTCAGCAACTTTATATCACAGCCTCTTCATATTTAGTATACAACATTGACACATGATCCCATGCCGTGGGTTTGAATTTCAGGTGTGTAGCTCATCCACTTCATGTTTACCTACTTAGTTAAATTTTCGACATTAATGGTCTATAGTAGGAACTTTTCATAACAGTTGTCTCAGCAAATATGTATCACAGCCTCTTGATATTTGGCATACAGCATTAACACATAGTCTGATACCGTCGGATTCGATTTCAGGTCTGTCAGTTATCCACTTCCTGTTTACCTACTTAGTTAAGTTTTCGACATTAATGGTGAATTGTAGGCACTTTTCGTAACAGTTTTCTCAGCAACTACTCATCAAAGCCTCTTGATATTTTGCAAACAGCATTGACACATGTTCCCATATCGTGGGGTTTGATTAAGATGTGTAGCTCACCCACTTCCTGTTTACCCATTTAGTTAAATTTTCAACATTAATGGTGAATGGTAGGAACTTTTCGTAACAGTTTTCTCAGCAACTACTTATCACAGCCTCTTGATATTTGGCATACAACATTGACACATGTTCCCATACCGTGGGAATTGGTTTCAGGTTTGTCGCTTATCCATATTTAGTTAAATTTTCAACATTAATAGAAAATGGTAGGAACTTTTTGTAACATTTTTCTAGCAACTACTTATCACAGCCTCTTGATATTTGGCATACAGCTTTGACATACAGCTTTGACACATTGTCTCATACCATGGGATTCCATTTTAGGTCTGTACCTCATCCACTTCCTGTTTAACCACTTACGTTAAATTTTTAACATAAATTTTCAATATTAATGGTCAATGGTAGGAAATTTTGTAACAGTTTTCTTAGCAACTACATATAACACCCTCTTGATATTTGGCATACAACATTGACACATGGTCCCATACCAAGGGATTCGGTTTCAGGTCTATCTCCTATCCGCTTCCTATTTACCCACTTAGTTAAATTTTCGATATTTATGGTCAATGGTAGGTAATTTTTAACACCTTTCTCAGCAACTTTATATCACAGCCTTTTCATATTTGGCATACAGCAATAACACATGGTACCATACCTCGAGATTCGATTTCAGGTCTGTCGCTTATACACTTCCTGTTGACCTAATTAGTTTAATTTTCGACATTAATGTTGAATGGTAGGATATTGTGGTAACAGTTTTCTCAGCAATTTCAGCCTCTTGATATTTGTCATACAGCATTGAAACATGGTCCTATACCGTGGAATACGATTTCAGGTGTGTAGCTCATCCACTTCCTGTTTACCCACTAAGTTAAATTTTCGACATTAATGGTGAATGGTAGGAAATTTTGGTAACAGTTTTCTCAGCAACTTCATATCACAGCCTCTTGATATTTGGCATTCAGCATTGACACGTGTTCTTCCCATACCGTGGGATTCGATTTAAGGTGTGCAGCTCATCCACTTCCTGTTTACCTACTTTGTTAAATTTTCGGCATTAATGGTGAATGGCAGGAAATTTTCGTAACAGTTTTCTCAGTAAATTCATATTACAGCCTCTTGATATTTGGCGTACAGCATAGACACATGGTACTTTACCGTGGGGTTTGATTTCAGGTTTGTCGCTTATCCACTTCCTGTTGACCTACTTAGTTAAATTTTCGTCATTAATGGTGAATGGTAGGAAATTGTTGTAACAGTTTTCTCAGTAACTACTTATCAAAGCCTCTTAATATTTGGCATGAAGCATTGACTCATGGTCTCTTACCATGGGATTCGATTTCAGGTCTGTAGCTCATCCAATTCCTGCTTACCTACTTAGTTAAATTTTCGACATTAATGGTGAATGGTATGAAATTTTGGTAGCAGTTTTCTCAGGAACAACTAATCACAGCCTCTTGGGAATTGGCATACAACATTAACACAAGGTTTCATACCGTGGGATTCGATTTCAAGCGTGTAGCTCAACCACTTCCTGTTAACCTACTTAGTTAAATCTTCATCATTAATGGTCAATGGTAGGAAATTTTCGTAACAGTTTTCTCAGCAACTACATATCACACCCTCTTGATATTTGGCATACAACATTGACAGATGGTCCCATACCGTGGGATTTCAGGTGTGTAGCTCATCAACTTCCTGTTTACCTACTAAGTTATATTTTCGACATTAATGGTCATTGTTCAATTTATTTCGTAGCATTACAGCCTCTTGGTATTTGGTGTACAAATGCAAGCCGGCCTTTTCTGTCTTTGACCCAATTTTTAGTGTAAGGTCTTGTTCAAGCTGTAGTTTTTCTGACAGATTTTAATCTATAATCCTTACTACAATTCGATCCCTTATTTGCTAACTGTTCATATCAGTTGCAAATTCATAGCTGTCTGCTTACTAATATAATGATCTAAAGAAAGTTTCTACCGTTTCATCTGTCATTTGGTTTCTGTGATGGACTTTAGCCCGTTCATGAATGATGTTTTTCTTTGGATTAAAACGTTCAGACATTGTCATATTTCTTTAGGGTTGCTTTCTGATAGCTCAGAAGATTTTAACATATTGTGAGCTTCTTTTCCCGTTGTATATACACGTGTAGCGACTTATCTAGCTTCATATTCATTATAAAGATCATGAGCGCCGTCTTTCTTTGTTGATCTTGTTAATAATATTTTTTGTTGCTGTTCTATAGAAAGAAAATTGTTGTTTTCATTCACCCAATTAATTCAGGCTTGCAAAGTCGAAGTTTTCTGGAGGATGTAACTTTTCTTTTTAGCTGTAATGTTATTTCTTTTACAATTTAATATAGCTTACAATTTAATGTAGTCTGGCTAGAACTTATACAATTTATTATAAATTCAGTCAATAGTGTTTTAAGAATTTACGATTAAATGCAAGTCCATATTTTTTAACAATTGTATGTAAATCCGTTTTCATTGTTTGCAATTTAATATAGGTCCGTGTTTTACTTCTTTAACTTCTGACACCATGTCAGTTATCACCAAAACACCATTAAATATACATCAGTTTTATTCTAACTACCAAAGCATATGTTTACATGTCAAAGCATTCTATATATCAAACTGGTTCAAAGAGAAAGTTTACATGGACTTAAACCCACGTGAACAGAGAGAATAAGACATCACGTCATATTGCATAACATGCAGTAACTCGTAAAATCATAAATTTTGCAAAGCTAGTTAGCTTGGTACCGTATGCATTCTATCAAACTGGTATTAAAGAGACAAGTATACACAGAGTTAAACCAACGTGACCAGAAAGAATAACAGAGCATGTCATATTGCATAACACGCAGTAATTATGAAAAAGCTAGCTTGGTATCATATGGCTCTTAGACTACGACATGCATCTATTAAGACAACCTCTCCACGGTCTTAACATCCACAAAACAATGTTATTTCTCTATTGATTTGATTAGTACTTTGACAACTCATTCAGGACCGACATTTCACCTTAGCGTTTGAATGACCTTCACTTTATAAAGCATCTTAATTAGAATAATGCGAATGTAAAGGCCTCCAATCATGATGGCTGTTGTTAAAAAGCAGGTTTTCTGACATTGCTGTTATACAGGCCGCTTTAACATTCGTTTACACTTGTTTCCGGAGTACATATTTTTAACATTGAACATATGTTTCATGATGTTAAGTTTAGGTTACTTTACTTAATGACTTTATGATGATAGCGATTATTGTTCGCATAGTTATTTATTTGTTCATCTATTCAAAAATAACACTTATATTGTTCTGTAAAATTGTTATTTATAAGCTTATTAAACTGAAATAAAATCCCGCTACAAGACCAGAATCATTATTTCAAACTGTGTCTTTTTCGGTACAAGTATGTTAAATAAAACTTAAACCGTTTGCATGTGTTATGTTCAATGCTAAAGCAATGTATTGATAAGAAAACTATGTGTTATTAGGTAGAGTATAATTTGTCAGAAATTCTATTGGTTCATATGACTGAAGTATTTAATACTGAATCAAATCAGATGGATATAACTCTTCTAAATTTAATTTCGTAACTTTCATCTCAATTAGTTCCGGACTGTGATATGTAACAATTTGTGGAGGAAATTATGTAATGTGATTAATCTAATTATTTGCACATCAATGATTAATTAGTAATTTTACTGAAAACATACAGGAAGTATGTTCACATTTGCATTAGTTCATGACAGCTTGAACTGATGTGTTTGTTTGGGAATTAGCTCGGGATCATTGGGACGCATGTGAGTAGAAAGGGCTGAAATGTCAAACGAAAATTCTACTTTATGAAGTTCCTAAATTCCCTGCGTATTGAAGTCAAGAAGCCTTCGCGCCCGCAACAAATTACATACAAAATAAAACCATTATAATTAAATATGAATTGAAATGTATTTTGAATGAAACTTTGTGCTTTTTTGTGACTGTAGGTTATTTAGGTAGTATAGAGGGTGTTAGGGGTAGGTTCATGGGAGTAGGGCTTGGTCCCATGTCGATATGTTACAAAATTTATGTCAACTTATGCGTAATAGAGTTTTAGATTGTTGCTTTTATTTTACATAATTAAGTTAACTAAATCTTAATATCTGTTTTAAAGCATTAAAATTTGTTACACACTGTGTTTAAATGTTCTATGGTTAATGTACATACCGGTTTTAGGAGGTAACAAAACACGAATGCATGCGGGATCTTCTTACTTGTTACTTTAATATCAGCTTTAAATGGCTTCTAATCTTCTAAACGTAACATGTTTTATCATAATATTTCCATTTTTTTCAGCACCTGCTTCACACATGACAATTAAAAGATAGCATGGAACAAATTGTTTCGATTGAATGTAAGCTAATTTATGACATGTGACATAGAAATGGAAGAAACACGTCTGGTGCAAAATTGCACGATTCTTTACTGACTTTCTAAAGACATAAACTGAGTTGTGCCGACACATTTAAGTTGATTTAGAAAGGTTTCGGAATAGAGGCATATTCATTTCGGCAAAGTGGCACATTTTATGTTACCATTGGATGTTACATTGAAACATACTTTCTCCGTGTTAATTATAATGATGAATAAAAACAAAAACATTACACCTTTTCGGAAATGCGAAAGCATTTGCAATGTTGAAAGTGACAAATCGATTTCTTATGAAATAGTTATAAATATAGTATCGAATCCTTGGCAAAATGTATTGTCAGATATAGTAATTTTAAGTTCTAATTTTACTAAGTGTGTTATTTTATATGGGGAAGGACATCTTCAAATTTTTTCACCACTACCGCTGAAAATTACTGACTTGTTAAACAAAGCTACTGAAAATAAAGACATTAAGTTGAAACTAGAAACTATTGGAAGTTGGTCACCCTATTATGACACTTTTTTGATATACACTAAAAGCGAAAAAGAACATTTAGTTTTACCAAAATTAAATAAAACAAAGCATTTGTTTGACCTATTCAATGTGAAATTCTGCCAAAAAGTAGTGTCTGTAAATCAAGTTGACCTTTTACAATATAACAATACTCATATGAACATCAACACATATGATAAAGAACTGGATAAGGTGAATATACTAAAGACTTCTCAAATACCAGGTGACAAAAAATCGAAGGCATCCTTTGAAATCCGTAATGTGTCTTTGAAAATTTTAAGAAAAGTTGATTTGCCACATAATACAAAAGTTAAATGTGTAATATTACCTCTGTCTGGTGAAAAAGGAATAAACGAAAATTATCCCCAGCAAGTATCGGAAGAGCAGAATACAGACGGGAGAAGCTTATTTGTATTTTCTAATGGCCTTTCATTGCCTGTAACTACTGATAATACTTCAGCGGCTTTATCTAATGATTATACTATTTCTGAAAATAATACATTTCCCCGAGGGACTGGATCATATACTCATGACACAGAAATTGGAACCGGAACTAGAAATACCCCTAATTCAGCGCATGGAGCACGTCATCCTGATTATATAAATTTACCCGAGAGGCTCGCATCATATGGTAGATGGATTCACACAAGTCCGGACCCGAATACTCTGTGTAAAGCGGGATTCTTTTATACAAGTGAGATGTACCATGTTTTAACGTGTGAACTTGTTCTTCTTTATTTAAATATAAGTTTTTTGTCGTTCTTTCTTTACTAAAAGCAACATATTTTATTTGTGATAAGTATATTCTTTTTCAATTTTCTGGAAGCACATTTAAACTTATAAAACATTTTCAAGCTTTGTCTTTTTATTATGTTTGTTAACACTATGAAGACTAGATTCTTCTTTGTTTTCACTAGATGATGGAGACCTTGTCAGGTGTTTCCAATGTGGTATTGGTTTGAAGGATTTCTCTCCAGAAGACGATCCGCTTAAAGAGCATGTAAGGCATTCCGGTAATTGTCCGTATCTTGTCGAGGTTTTAGGAGTGGAAAGGCTTTCAGAATGGAAGGTAACGTGCGGATTTGTTGTTTCTCTTTTCGGTGTGTGTGTATGTTATTGAGTGGATAGGTGCAATTAACATATGAACTAAGACGTAGGAATTTCTCAAGAGAACTATGACATAAATCAATTATCAGAACTACAAATTCGGTTTGAAACTACGAAGTCCTTGCACAATACATCTTCTTCTGCAATATCCAACTTTCAGAATCTTTAATGTTCAAAATCACAAATCCAAACGTTTGAGATGAATATAACAGCACATGAAATTGCGATAGAGCATTTTTTTGCAATGTCTAAAACAGGAAAATTCATTCGCCGTCAAAAGAACAAAAGATCATGCAATAACAAATGTTAGAAATAAAATAATTGTATGATGCACGTTAAATTTTATAGTCGCCAAACAGCACTTGGCATATATAAAAAGTGTTTTATGGTAAATCACACTTCAAAGGACACTTTTGTCTTGTCCTGATGTATCAAATAAATATTCTATATATCTCATAAATATTCGAGAACCATTCGAATTATATGTTTCTCGAGAGAAATATTCAAATAATCTTTTCTCAGAGAAATATTTGAATTATCTCGAATTATCTTTTTTCAGAGGTTGCTTCAAGTGCAAGACCCCGAACTTAACAGACGAATGCAATGGAATGGTATGCTATTAGGTCTAAAGAACACGTTCTTAAGAAATTAGAAAAACTGTCTCGGTTTTCAGAAAAGACCCTGAAAATTCGGATGTCTTTGAGTTTATTAATGAAATGGAGATGTGATAATAAATTGCCAATATATTTTGCTATTTGAAATAGATCTACCTCATATAAAATTTATCTTTATTGGTTTGAACAACTAGTATCAAGTTTTACAAAATTTTGTTTTGCTTTTATATTCTTAGATGGTATACCCTATAAATAATTCTTGACAATAAATTATTCTTTTATTCATTTCAAAATAGCGGAAATTGCCGGTATTAATAATTTACTTAATTATAAATACAGCAATAAAGAAGTTGTGCCTTTTTTTTACACATTTAAATGGACGTAAATACAAATAAGACCATTTGCTGCCAACATTTTAGATTTCAGTAAAGGACTGTATTTATGACGTCATGTTTTTCCATACAATAATTCCATTACATTATATCATAACTGTCTGAGTTTTATGAAGAGAGTTTCAATATTTTGTTTTTTTTCTTCTTTGAATGTTAGTGACCATTCAGTGACTTTTTCTATGCCACCAGAATATGGTAAGGAATGATTGCATATATCGATGCCGTCTGCTACGATTCATAGTATACTGTCAGTACTTGCTTATCAAACACTATCACATCACCAACAGACATATGGATAGTGACTTTAAAAGCAATAGCGAGATTTGGGATAATCATGATATACACCCCACCCCTTTTTGACGTAGAAAAAGAAAACTGAGTTACAAATATAATAACATAAATCCAAGGAAATGAGCTGGAACTTCCAGTTTATATAATTCATTGGAAAATAACAGAAAAACAGTCAACATTTTAATTTTGATGATACTTAACTTTGATGTGTTCAAATTAACGCACCAATTAATCGTTTGAAAAATAACACGTCCTGTTGGTGCTTATTCCAGGATATTTCTCTTTCCAGGTCGTAACAATATAACTGCAGGGACTTATACTTATCGCCATCCTGAATATCAGACACGGGAGAAACGTTTGGAAACATTTGTTAACTGGCCTGCACAGATGATGCAACGTCCTGATCAACTAGCTGATGCAGGTTTATTTTACACAGGTAAATTATATTTCTAAGTAATAAAGTTATTATTTCAACTTGCTTATCTTGCTTCTTTTGGGGAAATTGGTGTCAACTGGCTAGTATATGTCCTTAGATAAGTAAATGTTTCAAAACTACATAATCCCTCCCTGTTTCTTTCTCTTTTTTATATAAATTTGGGTATAATGCTTCATGCATCTGCAAAAAAACATATTAATCTTTGTTTAGACAAACAAAATGTACACTGTTATGCAATTCATTTACAAGATAAAAGCTCTTAGATTAATTCATATGTCCTAGATAATTAAGTTATAAAAACAGTGAACTCTTATTAGAAATGACATTTCGATAAGAAAGTGTCTTGAATCGTAAGTACTATTGTTATTCGACTATCTCACAATTTTGTTTAAATTAATCAATTAATTAACTTAGTAAACTTATTTACTTTGATTATTTCAATTTTGGAACATGATTTCGACGATCCAATCCTGCCATAAGAATATCTGCTCCTTTTAAACAAACTGAAGGACACCTTTTTAAGTCATTATAAATATATTATTCAAAGTATCGACACTCCTTTCTGTACATCAATACCATCTGAGATTGGGACACTAACTGGGCAATTGAAAAATCATTCATGAGTCTTTAATACTTTTTCAGTACATGAAATGCCGTAAAAATGTTAACATTTAACAACTGAATATTAAATCAATAGGTTCAGTTAGTAACAGCATTTTATTACTTGTTTATTGTTGCATAGTTCTGATGGTTTTGAAAGTTAATCTATTTTTAAAAAGAAGATTTAAGCACATTAGGTGTTAATTGTTAATCTAAATGGTGTTTTCAAAATGGTCCAGTTTTTGTAAGGTCAATAATTGATTCTGTTTCCCAGTTGTTATTTCATATAGGTAAAATTAAAGAAAATTATTCAACAAGACCAAATGTGATTGACATATTAACTGCACAATTTTTTTTTAATTAAGGACCATTGTCTCAAAAATGAAGAAACTTATTTATGTTCTATCTAGAAAACCTTTCATGGGGAAATACTTAGACATCTGTACTGATAATATTCTACTTTTAAGATGTATGGATGCTATAAATATTGAACGAACAAGAATTTTATTATTATTGAAAAAAAAGTCATTTTTCAGGTCTAGAATTTGTAAAATGTCGTGGTTTACTGAGAATTAGTAAAAATGCAATAAATATCCACCCATCTATACATTAAAATTTATACATAAGGATATTGATTCTTCGGCACAGCACATTCAGAGCGTAACATTTTTTGGACAATATTGTATGTTGGCATATTTCAGACAACTGTTAAATTTAATTGCCTTACTTATTAGTTTCTTTTACTTATGAGATAAATAACAATTTATTATTTATTTGTAAAACTAGATATATTTCCTGTAAAATAACGAATACTATAGTATGTAAACAGTATGCTCAAAACTTTTCCATCTTACCAGTTAAACAAAATGCAATAATTCATTATCTTTATATGTTTGCGTCCATTGTTGATAACAGCATAGTTTCAGTTGACAGCAATATAATCATTTATCACATAAAACGCGGCGCAGGAGTGTGATAAAGTCATTTAATAAAAACGATATTACACAAGTGTAATAACACTTTGACGTGACGTCATTTGCGCTATATAGAAACAGAGCGTTAAAGCGCGCTAATGTTAGCGTTACACCATGGGCGCGTCATTGAACAATTACTCATTTTAATAGTTTACTGTTCTTATTTTTATATAAAAATTATGTGATAAATATAATATTATACTGTTGTAGATTCAATACTAGATTTATTGAACTCGTTGAATAAAAAAATATTATGTTTGCCAGAGGCTCGCATAATATGATTTTATTCAATTCGTTAAATAAATTTAGTATTAAACTACACTTATTCAATATCCTGTATATAGTATGTACACTTTATATTGTAAGGTTTTGAAGATCTTGTGCGATGTTTTGCATGCGACGGCGGTCTCCGCCGTTGGGATCCAGAAGATGACCCATGGACGGAACACTGTCGATGGTTCCCGGCTTGCCCTTTTGCCAGGGAAACAAAGGGAGATGATTATATAGCCCTTGTGCAAGCCTCGGCTAATTTAGAATCTGAGGTAAATAGCATTATGCTTTGCTTGTAAATTAAATTTTTTCTTGTTAAGTCTTGTCACTTTATTGCAAGACCCCCTCGAAGTGTGTATTGTGCAATAAGACATGTAAGAAATACATCTAAATAGAAGGCGATTTCCGATTTACAGAAGTAAATGTTATAGTATTTAGGTTACGTGTTGTAGAAGACATTTTCAAGGAGCTTTCGGTGTTTTGTTTGCATATAGTTATTTTGAAAGTAACTTTTCATAGGAAACAGTATATATTAAATCATGCACCTTTAACAGTTTCTTAAATGTAAAACTTTGTTAGTATTTGAAAGTCCCGATCAACAAGCATAGGGGGTATAACGTTGACATTGGTCAAATGATAAGAAATAAACAAATTTTTTAAAAGTTCACCTAGGTGCAACCTGAATCATACATATTAAACGGTTGTACCAACATTGATTGGCTATCTATGAGCTATATACTGGTATGAGTATATATTATTTAAAATTCCGATCAAACTAAAACAAATGGTTTTATTTGTTTATCTGATGAATTGAATATTGCAAGCTCTTTGCAAACTGTAACAAACGAATAAAATTAGTAGTTATTCTGAGCGTATATTAGTTGATGCTTTATTCTTATTCAAGGGGTGTGCCTAATATCAGATTGATAGCCTTTTAGCTATACGGAACAGAATTTTCAGTTGAACTAGTGGGACTAGAATAATTTATTTGAAGATATAACAATATTAAACATTACTGTACCGATGATAAAACAATGTAATTATTTGTTTTGATGCCCATGTTTGCCATCAATGTGAACTTTATTATATTAAAATGTATTTAATATGCATTGTAGGGTGAAGCAGCCCAGTCTTCCGGGCAAAATCTTGCTGAGGCAATGGAACAGATAACACTAAGCGATCCAGAAATTAGAACTGCATTAGAAGAACATAAAAGCGCATGTGTGAATATGGGATATCAAATAATAGAGTTTGATGAAGCGGTGAAAGAGATAAGGAACAGAGGTTTAAATTTTATTCACTTCTATCATATAAAAATAATGTTTTTATATATCTTTTCTACGATGTATATCACTTTTAAATAGAGAGAAATAGAATCCCTAAAGAAAGTTCAAAACGGCAAAAGGCTCGTTTTAATTGCGCCTTTTCATGGACAGTACTGGAAAGTGCAATATATTGTCCATGCCAAGTAGCACAGACTAAGCAGAATTCAACAATTAAAACAAAACATTGTAAAGGTGAAGTTTTGAATTTAGAAACATCCGTAGACAATTATGTTCCTACGTCAATCATAGATCCTTCGATGAGGCACGTAAGTGCCATTCCATGAATGACGGCGTTCTGTCCCCAATGTAAAATAATGTGTGTGCCTTAAACGAGGAACAATAAACAACACTGAATAAAGTGAAATTTGAAAGAGGATCAGAGGTTATGAAACCTGCATATCCCTGATAAGATGCCAAAAGACAAATTTAAAAAGCAGGTCATTTTTCCTTAGGGTTGTTTTATGGCATTCAAGTAATTGCCGTTTAGGAATACAAACACATCAATAATGTCGTGCTGAACGATCTTTAAGGATCGGAAACATCACTTCTCTGATTGTATAATGCACCGTGCTACTTTTTACGGCTTCTGCACGGTACAAACAACACTGATTTGACAATAGAATTGAGAGAATCCCTAATGAAAGTAAAATATGGCAAAATTGAAAATGTTGCAGGATCGGTTTGACTGAGCTTGTGCATGGACAGCTCCGGGAAGTGCAATCTATTGTCCCATAGCACAAGATCATTCAAATCAAAATGGTCGTATTGCATTGTAAATTGTATCGATGTAACTTGATTGTATCGACTTAACCATACTTTTTAGATGATAAAATTAAAGGGATTAACAGAACCAGGTGAAGGACATATCACTCGGGAGCAATTAAAACAAATGTTAAGGTGAATATTGCATACTTGGTCTGATTGAGTCTGTTCTTGAGAGATAATAAAAGGTTAAATATCTTTCAGGTTCCCTAGTATTGACATAAGCAAATTGTATTTTTAACATTAAACATGTATGAACCAATAATCCCAAAAGGATAAACAAAATATAACAGCACTGAGATGTTATTAAGCGCAACGTATACAGTAGCCGCAACAAATGTTAGAATAAGGTTATCATCAGACTATAAATTTAATTGGCTGTATTGTAGAAGCTTTGTTATAGCAATATTCAACGTAACAAATATATAATCGGAATAATCAAATTGCAAATAGGTTGGTGAATTTTGGGGTCTGAAAAGACACCACAGCATGTTATTACATGTTACTACTCAGTAATTTAAATGTTGAACAACTATTAATCAACGAAATGATAGAATGTTACAGGTTTGATTTAGTTTGTACATTTGTATAAAATATTACTAGGAAAGTACTTTACAAACTTTACAGACCCACTTAGTTGGGAGGGAGACATAGATTTTGTCATTTCAAACCGCCACGCTTCATGCTGTCCGTCTACAGACTGACGGAACAGTAGAATGTGGATGAATCCGTGTCATATGGGAACATTCCTAGTTTACACCCAATTCTGAACTTTATTGATTTCCAGTACTTTCACAAGAAACATATTTTAAATTATATTTTATTGTGATTTCATGGTTTCAATTTTAGCAATATATTTTTAAGGAACAATCAAGCCATCTATTGAAGAAATAATAGACGTCATAGAAGTTATTCAGTCAAGAAAGCTACAAGATACTTTAACGGCTACAAGAGAAGATGGTAATATATGTATATAGTTTTATGAAAGATCATGTTCCACATCATTTTTGAAATTATATTTTATTGTAAATGTAAGCTTTCAAAATTTCAGCAATAATTCATATTATTGATATTATGTTTACGTATTTTTTCTTTTTCTATTTATTTCTGAAGACTAATAGGTGTCATTATATTATTTATGTACATTATTCTTTCAAAGACGTATATAACTTTACAAAATAAATATAGATATAACTATATTGACGAACTTTGTATACTTTTTCTGCTTTTAGAAACGCCTATTGAACAAAACCAGCGTTTAAAGAGTTATGTCATATGTATGAAATGTGAAAAGAATGATGTCAATGCATTGTTCCTTCCTTGCACCCATCATCGATTTTGTATGAAATGCGCAGAAAATGTATCCAACTGTCCTGTATGTGGTAAATTTATTCGTCAAAGGATAAGGACTTACATGGTTTGAACTTGCAACTGTCTTTTTATTGTGCTTTTTAACATGGACATTAGCGTGCAGATTTAGTTATTGACATTGTAATTGGTGTTTTATGTTAAGTGTTGCTGTACATATCTTTAAAGAATAGGGTCGCATGAACGGTTTCATTTCATTTGTGTAAGTGGAAGTTATTTTTGAATAACGTTTGAATTTTGGAGGGAATTTCAAACAGTTGGTTAACTTGTAGCGGTTATACTAGCAGGATTGATAACATCAGTCATATGTTACAGTTTAATCGGAATATCAGGTGTGGTATCGAGGCTTGTCGACTTTCAGCCCATTGGTGTGTACCCTAACAGCACATGACTCATCTGGCACCCCATACCAGTAATACGAACAGGCAGAAGTAATATAGCACACCAAGATGTAGTGACAGTGACACGAGCAGGATGAAGTAATATTGCATTCCAAGATGTAGTGCCAGGAGCAGAATAAAGTAATATTGCACTCCAAGATGTAGTGACACGAGCAGACTGAAATGATGTCACTGAAATATTGCACTTTCAGATGTAGTTTTACGAGCAGGATGAAGTACTATTGCACTCAAAAATGTAGTTATACGAGCAAGATGAAATACTTTTGCACTCCAAGACGAAGTTATACGAGCAGGTTGAAGTACTATTTCACTCCATAATGTAGTTACACGAATAGGATAAAGTTGTATAGCACTCGACTCTGCAGAACAGGATAAAGTAAAACAGCACTCCATTATACAGTTTTAAGAACAATGAAGTAATGTTGCACTCGACAATGCAGTATTACGAGCATGATAAAACAATATTGCACTCTTTAATGATGTTTTACGAGTAGGATGGAGTAAAAGTGCACTCCATTGTACTACATAAAGCAGTTTACCTAGCAGGATGAAGTAATATTGCACTCGATAACAAGATAGGAATTCTAGTTATGAGAAAAGACAAAATAATATACTTCTTTAACTTTTGGAGGTATATGAAAACAAGTCCATATCGTTTCTCAAGAAACAACACTGCGTAAAGATGAAGTTTTGTTATTTATATATTTGAGCTGTGTTCAAGTAATGTTAGAAAACAATAGTGTAACTTATAAAAGATGTCATGTTTTTAAGGTATAATGTACAGTCTCAAATTTTTTTTGATATAAACATTATTTAAATGTGAAGTGACGTTGATGGGAATCAATTTGATTAAATCGATGGACAAACGAAAGCAGAATTTAACATTTTAGATCCATTTTCAACTTCTGCAGTAGTGGTGATAATATGTGTCATTTTCGTGTCGTTCACTTGAAAGCATTATTATTTGCCCTCAGAAAGTACATTATCATTGTCGCCTGTGTGAAACAATAAACATAATTTATTACAACTGGTTTAATTGGTGACGGGTATTGTGAAACCTGTGTGATACAGACAACTGTCGAAAGACAATTAAAGACAGGCAGCATATCCTCTTTTGAGGGTCTGCCAAAATATTGGAACCGTTAAAGCGACATATATGTCTTGTAAAAATTAACTGCCATTCGTTGTAGAAAACAAACCCCTGAAAAGTACTACGAATAATACTATATCAAGGTCAAACTTGCATGTTTCTATGTAAGGTACGAGTACTACATTTATAAGTGAACGAGGATAAAAGACAAATAAAATATGTTCTCTTTGAAGCAAATACGTGATTATGTTGGAAATAACTTTCGTTTTGAAATTCCAGAATATCCCGTATACAACACATGCACATGTATTTACAAGCATTTGAAATATTTTCATGGAGTATTAGTGCAAAGTTGTCGATTATGTTTTGACTTATGATTTTACTTTCTGTGCCATAAACGTTAAACATATGGATTAAACAAAATATTTTGGGAAGTGGGTCTAATGTTAAGAAGTACTGCTTATACAAAACAGATACGGAAAAAGCAACTTTAAACGACAGATGACATATATTCCCAAGGTTGGTTTTGCGATATTTCGATGGAAATATAGTTTAAGACATAGTAAACGTTAATCGTCTAGATGGCTGAAAGACGAAGGAACTTTTGGTAAAGTACTCTATAAGAGAGATGCATGTGTTATTAAGTGGAAACAGAATAAGATAAAATAAGGAAACACTGTACATTAACAAGTGTACGACGAAGGATAAAAAAGTGTGATTAACCAGTTCTTTTAAAGGCAAGCAGACAAGCACATTAAATTGCAAATATGTGGCTGTATGGAAAGAAATAAAAGTTCTGTACATTTAGGATGTTCTCCGTGAAAAAATACTAATATTATCTTAAAACTAACGGAATTGAAGCGACAACATGAAAATAAATATGACGATCACGTATTTGAACATTGAATCATAATATTCAGTGTTGCCACTGACGTAGTGACATGCCATTTATTCAATAAAACATTGAACTATTGAATTATGATGTTATTTTGTGTGTTTTACAAACCTTTACCGTATGGTTAAGGATGCGTCTTATGTTAAAAAGTTTGCTTATGACAGCCAGCTTTAAACTATCAAAGAACATATTTGAAAGGCAGGCAAGCAAAACTACATAAGATCATTCCGGTGGGAATAAAGTTGCCGCTTAAATGATAGAGTGAAAGTTGATCTTTTTAAAAGTCAAATATAAAAGAAACGAATTGTTGAAGCAGAAACTTTGTGAAATGCCACTACAAGCTAGACGCATGCGGTGATAAATAGAAATAGGACAATGAAGAACTTTATTATATATGAACTACTTTAAACATGTGTATAACATGTTAATTGTTTTAATTTTATTTTTGTTTGTTTGAAATCAATGACCGTATGGAAACTGGTTTTGTACAGTGAGGCTGTCATGTGAAGAAAGAAAATTAATGATATCTGCAATCTTGTATTGTTGAAATGGAAATATGAAAACAAATCTCTGTATATTGATGTTTGTAATAATGGTTTGTCATCACTTATCACATTTCAATTTTTTTTCTCAGACGAATTGCAATTAATTATTGTCATTTTAATTTAGCGCAATGTTCATGCTAAATTATATTTGTCCTACAGTTTTAGGTACATTATTATATATCCTGTAGGTACATTTTTATATATGCAGTATGTACATTATTATATACGTATGCTGTTTTTAATTTAAAGACATAAAAGTAAATCGATTAAACAAATGTATGCTAATCTTATTTTTATATGTTTCATCATTATTAAAGATGTAAATAGGTGTGAGTAACGGACTTCTTATTTTTATCGTGTAATTGTATGCTATATAGAATTTTCCGCTTAGGTATCACTGCACAGTAATTATTCATAAGTTCCTAGAAAAGGGTCTCCGAAGAACTTATAAAACAGTCTGTTTTACGTACTTCAGTAGTTTATTATTAAAGCACATTACATTTAACTTTCATATCTTAAAGAGATTGATACTAGTTTTTATGAAATGTTTTCAATATGATATCTTCTAGAATATGTTCAAGTAACTTTTGCTTGTGATCTCGCCCTTTCTTACAAGGCACTTATATATCATTATTTTGCTGCTGTTTTTATCTTTATCATTTTGGAACTACATTATTTATCATAACCGGTAATATCTACACCTGTATAATAGTACGGTTAATGCATGAAAACAAATTATTGTTAACAAAATGAGGTTTTGTAGCTCTTTATTATAAATGTATAAAGTTTAATGTTTTTTTATTTACATTAGACATGATACCTATGGACAATATATATGCTTGTTCTCATCTTAATACCCACATTTCAACAGGAAACAATATGAGTTATGTTATTTAACATGTTTGTAATTTGGCATTTTATTTGATAAAAGTATTCTTTTTGCTGTTGTCAAATTCAATATGATTTCCTAGAAAAGGGTCTCCGAAGAACTTATAAAACAGTCTGTTTTACGTACTTCAGTAGTTGATAATTAAAGCACATTACATTTAACTTTCATATCTTAAAGAGATTGATACTAGTTTTTATGAAATGTTTTCAATATGATATCTTCTAGAATATGCTCTCATGTATTTTGTTCAAGTAACTTTTGCTTGTGATCTCGCCCTTTCTTACAAGGCACTTATATATCATTTTATTTTGCTGCTGTTTTTATCTTTATCATTTTGGAACTACATTATTTATCATAACCGGTAATAACTACACCTGTATAATAGTACGGTTAATGCATGAAAACAAAATATTGTTAACAAAATGAGGTTTTGTAGCTCTTTATTATAAATGTATAAAGTTTAATGTTTTTTATTTACATTAGACATGATACCTATGGACAATATATATGCTTGTTCTCATCTTAATACCCACATTTCAACAGGAAACAATATGAGTTATGTTATTTAACATGTTTGTAATTTGGCATGTTATTTGATAAAAGTATTCTTTTTGCTGTTGTCAAATTCAATATGATTTCCTTTCGGATTATTTTCATCATGTCTACGTTGACTCCATACATATTTAAAGGAATTAATAGTGTACTTTAAGCTATATTTTGATTCTTACATTAAATAAACATCTTATAAAACATTGAAATCCTTATATAGTGTTTTAACTGTTTAGAGTGTAATGTTTGTTTTAATTTCTTTTCTCTGTACTTAATATAATTTGCGAGAATAATTCATCTTATTGACGACTGTGATTTTAAAAGAAACGGAACATAAAAACATATGGAGTGACAAACAATTGAAAAAATTATGTAGAAAAGAAATTGTTAAACATTTACCTTTTCTTTTTTGTTGCTTATCGATAGCTCGCTTACTTAAATACTATTTTATCCGCCAATTGCACATAGAAAAACTTTAAATTGGAACAAGATGAGAGGTCTACAACGTCGCATGTCTGCATATACAAAAGGATTTCAACATTTCTTTATATTTTCTTTAAGAATTACTTAGCATACTGAAACAGGCAAATTCGAATAATTGTATCCCAAACAACAATATAATACCTTAATGTCAGCATTTGATGTTATCTTTGGATTGCCTTCCATCATGAAGATACACTTTCCCCATCTAACAACTATATAGTCAAAACATTTACTTCTGGTGATGTTACAAAACGTTCCATTCCTGGTGGGATGTTATGATGTCTATAATTACATTAATGGCACGTAATATGTCAAACATACTTTAAGTTTATGAAGTTAGATCTTGGGCCTGTAAAATGGTTGTAAAATCTCTTTTATAATTAAATTCTTTATATCATATGACGTCGCTTGTTTTCCACATCAGATAAACGTTAGGTTCTTATTTATTTAGCACTGTGTAGTATAACATCGTCATACAAAACCGCAAACATGCTTATTTTCATCAATTTTAATGTGTTCAAAAGAATTTTCACATTCAAAGACATTAATTTTACGGTTTTATAAAACTAGTCCAAGAAAATCTTTTAAAGCTTTCAAGGTCAACTTCTTTAACTCATTAAATTAACAATGTATGCAATACATTACCTCATAATGGTTTATGAATTTAAGAGTAAATATATTTTTGCTTAGGGCTAAAAATTCACCAAATACTAACTTGCGTTTTTGATATTTGTGTATATCGTCGATTCCTCTAGTATTTTCTGCTTCTTTTATATGATCAATTTGCCAGTTATTATATTCTCCTTCCCCTTCCATTTTCCCTTTCTATGAGAGTAAAATGAAAAGAAAACAACAACAATTCTTAACATCCTTTTTGAACTTGTTTGGGTTTTGATTGAACAATTTCTTCAAGGCTTTAGGCTCTTCACAGTTTTTGTTGACCAGGTTTTACATGCAAATAAAACCAACCTTGGTTTGAGAATTACAAAGTTTTTCCGAAACACCTTGATTATGTTACATCATAACATGTAATTATACCCCCAAAAAAAAAGTTTTTTTTTTTTTTTGGGGGGGGGGGGGTATATAGGAGTCACCCGGTGGTCGGTTGGTCGGTCGGTCGGTCGGTCGGTCGGTCCAGACGTCCGTTGCATTTTCCTTGTCAGGACCATAACTTGAAGACTAATGGTTGGAATTCAATATAACTACATACAATGGTCAAGCACATTGAGAGGAAGTGCAGTGCACAAGAACCATAACTCTATCTTGACTAATTACATAGTTATTGCCCTTTGTTACTTTTCCTTGTCCGGGGCATAACTTGAAAACTACTGGTTGGAATTCAAAACAACTTCATACAATTGTCAAACACAATAAGGGAAAGTGCAGTGCACAAGAACCATAACTCTATTTAAAGTAATTACAGAGTTATTGCCCTTTGTTACTTTTCCATTGCTTTCTTTTGTCCGGACCATAACTTGAAGACTAATGGTTGGAATTCAATATAACTACATACAATGGTCAAGCACATTGAGAGGAAGTGCAGTGCACAAGAACCATAACTCTATCTTGACTAATTACAGAGTTATTGCCCTTTGTTACTTTTCCTTGTCCGGGGCATAACTTGAAAATTACTGGTTGGAATTCAAAACAACTTCATACAATTGTCAAACACAGTAAGGGGAAGTGCAATTCATATGAACCATAACTCTATCTAAAGTAATTACAGAGTTATTGCCCTTTGTTACTTTTCCATTGCTTTCTTTTGTCTGGAGTATAACTTAAAGACTAATTGTTGGAATTCATTATAACTTCATACAATGGTCAAGCACATTGAGAGGAAGTGCAGTGCACAAGAACCATAACTCCATCTTGACTAATTACAGAGTTATTGCCCTTTGTTACTTTTCCATTGCTTTTTTTTGTCCGGAGCATAACTTGAAGACTAATGGTTGGAATTCAATATAACTTCATACAATGGTCAAGCACATTGAGAGGAAGTGCAGTGCACAAGAACCATAACTCCATCTTGACTAATTACAGAGTTATTGCCCTTTGTTACTTTTCCATTGCTTTTTTTTGTCCGGAGCATAACTTGAAGACTAATGGTTGGAATTCAATATAACTTCATACAATGGTCAAGCACATTGAGAGGAAGTGCAGTGCACAAGAACCATAACTCCATCTTGACAAATTACAGAGTTATTGCCCTTTGTTACTTTTCCATTGCTTTTTTTGTCCGGAGCATAACTTGAAGACTAATGGTTGGAATTCAATATAACTTCATACAATGGTCAAGCACATTGAGAGGAAGTGCAGTGCACAAGAACCATAACTCCATCTTGACAAATTACAGAGTTATTGCCCTTTGTTACTTTTCCTTGTCCAGAGCATAACTTGAAAACTACTGTTTGGAATTCAATACAACTTCATACAGTTGTCAAGGACATTAAAAGGAAGTGCAGTGCATAAGAGCCATAACTCCATTTTGATAAAATACAGAGTTACTGCCCTTTGATACTTTTCCTTGTCTGGAGCATAACTTAAAACGTACTGGTTGAAATTCAAAACAACTTCATACAATGGTCAAGCACAAAAAGAGGAAGTGCAGTGCACAAAAACTATAACTCCATCTTCAGTATTTATAGAGTTATTGCCCTTTGTTCCTTTCTTTGTCTTTCTGGACTTATTACAGAGTAAGTCAATAAAACTTCATCAATGGCCAACCACATTGAAAGGAAATGCAATATACAAGAACCACAACTATCTTTAATTGCCCACAACCATAACTCTATATTTCAATTCTTTTACAAGGTATTCTGTTACTAGTAACATCCTCATTTCCGAAGCAGTCTTGTGGGGGTATTAATCACATTTAGCGATAGTTCTAGTTACATTTTATTCTACGTACCACACAAGAACAACTTTGTATTACCAAGGACTTGCCAAACAATATCTTGGTAATAAACCTGTTTTACCTTCCTCTTAACGCTAAACAATATGAACCCAGCCTTTCCGAAATAGAGGGATATTTTGTAATTAATATTTCTTACAGTAATCTAATTCATTTACCAGCTTTTGACGGTTACTATCTGGGGTCCGATGATAAAAGATTATAAAACTATCATCTGCAAGTCATTTTTCACTAACCCGGAGTATAAATTTTCTTTAAAGGTCCATTATGCTCTAGAAATGAGTATACGTACAGGTTACCGTTTTTGGGAAAGACAAACATTAATTTAATTAATTTAAAAAATGTTTTTAGAATGTTAGATGCCTATCACATGAAACAGGAAGTACTGAAATTCTATGCAGAATCATTTGTCATGCTAGTAGCACAATGTAAATAAAGTGGTAATATAGCAAACAGTGGCATAATTAGTTGAAAATTAAGAAAAATATTAGTCATCTAATAGTTAGCAGAGATAATATGAAAATATAGACCTTTTGTACATAATTACCAGTATATAGGTGTCACGTTTATTTCTACTGTAATTGTTGACGATGGTGGCTTGTTTGAAATAACAATTTGTATGCTGCTTAGATCATTATGTAGGGGCGTCCGTGGCCAATTGGTTAAGTTTGTTGACTACAAACCACTTGCCCCTCACCGCTTTGGGCTTGAGTCCCGAAAGGGCTTTGGATACTCTCATG